AAGCTAGAGAGGTGAGCAGAATAAGTCTGATTCCCTGTAAAGACTTCTCTGTTGACACCCACCCCTTGGCGCTCATATGACCTTTTATGCAGTTGCGAGCACCGTAAAACCCTCTACTCTAAAAAAAAAAAAAAGTACATGTGTATTTGGTCACTTTGTAGTTGTATGTTGGGGGGTAGGGTTCACCATTTTCTTGTGGGATCCAAGCTTCACTGCTGAAACGTTTTTATTTACTTTTTCTGTTAGACAAACAGAAGGAATATATTTACACGGATTGACCTTTGTGTTATTGAAGAGATGTTGTTATTGTATGGAGCTTGAAAATTGCAATTAATTACCTGCCACTTAATATGTGTTTACCTCTGTTGGTGTGCTTGTTTTGGTTCGTGTAATTCCCAGTTAAACATATGTGTACACTGTCAAGAACTGTTGACTACACTGCAAACACAGCTGTACAGCACATTGTTCATAGTATTCTGACGACTAAGCAATATTCATGTGTCGTTGGCGGATGCTCTGATAGATATGGTTTGCTCCTTATTACGCCTGTCGTCCTTAACACTCCCCCTTCTTTTTGATGTTTGTTACTCTTTTATAACACCTGTAATCTCCGGAAACTGCCAGCAGGTGACCTTATTGTGTTGCAAGTACCGTAACACCCGTACTAAATTAAAACTTAGCAGTATTCCTTTTGAATGCTTTGTTATCATAAAAGCTAATGGGGTTGGTACAATTGTCAAACATGCATACTGTCACTGAGAGAGAGTCCGTTCTTTTTCAAGTGCTCTCAATGGAAGTCTCTCTCAATTCTCTCTAATCTCTATCTCCCCCTTGGCCCACTTAGTCATTTATTTCCGTCACGGGCGACGACGACGTGTGTACATGATATCACGAATGAATGTGATTTATATAGTATTTTTATGCGTGCTCGTTATGCACTAAAATGTCAATGGGTTGCGTAGCCTTTGCGACTTGCGATAGTGGCCTCGATAGAAAGTTTGTCACAGATGTGTGTGAACTGTGACGGGTTTAATCATGGGATTCATATAATCCTGTTTTGCTTTGGAGATTTGACTTTTTGATTGGCTTCGTTAATTGGTTTTATAATTTCCAGCATCTGTTCGTTAAATATTTTTTTGTGATGGTGGTGGTTTG